CGCCCCCTCCACCCGCTCCAGCACCGTGTTGGCCCTGGCGCCAGGCAGGCCGGGCACTGCGGCCAGGGAGTGAGTGTCCTGCAAGGAAAGGAACGGGGCTGGACACCAGGCAGTGCCCAGCCAGCACAGGGCGAGGCAGCTGACCTGGGGAGAGACTGCACCTCAAAGGGCAGTGCAAGGTTTGGGTTGTTCTGGTGAAAAACCTCCTTTTCAGACTCCTCAACACCAGCCCCCAAGTCCTTGCCCTTGGGGATCACCCACAACTCCAGACAGAAGTTCCCAGCAGAGGAACTGCACGAAGTGTAGAGCTCTGCTGGAAACCCACTGTTGGAGTCTGCAAGGAGCCACAGTGCTGAGGTGAACCACATCCCCCCACTGAAACCAGGCTGACAATGGATGGAGATCCATCGTGGCACAGGAACAAGGCCTGTCCCAGGGGACTTAGTCCAGCATACTGGAGTGAGATAAACCTCACTTAACACCAGGCATTTACCATGTGCACCTGGATCTGGATCTGAATTACTGCTGCAGAGCAGGGTGCAAACCCGTGACTTTGGGATACAAATTCATATCCTCCTGCAGGACTTCCTTTTTGGAGGCAGTGGATGGACTGTGGACACTGGAGCACCTGCTCCTCACATCCGAGTGTGAAGGAATTGGGCTGAATAGTTTGTACTCAGAACAAAGTACAAACAGGACAATCCAACCCAGTGGTGCAACTGCATTAATTTTATGCAGCAAGAAATTTCTCCTCTCCCAAAACTGGTGTGTGACAAAGAGAGAAAGAGGGAGAGAGTGGCTCTTTCTTTGCTACTGGGATTTGGCCAAATCATTTTGCCCAGGGTTTGTACACCAGTGTCCCAAAAGATGGGGTTTGAATGAAATTGCGCTCTGGGCGAACCACAACAGAGGAACACAAGGAACAACAGCCTGGATACAACCCAGGGCCCAGCCCCAGAGCAGGATCAAACAGCACCTCATAGTGCAGCATTTTAAGTGTCTAGAAGATGTTTTAGCCAACACTTAAGTTTGTCCTTCCCTAGAACCTCAGCACCACAAAACTCCACCTGGGACACTGCACAAACAGGATCTGTTTGATTTTTTTTCCCCCTCTAGATGGACAAACCAAATTCAGGCCATCTGCTACAGTTCCCTCTGCCTCTGAGGGCAGGGCTTGCCTTGGGGTTGTTACACAGAACTCTGAATATTCCTGGTGCTTCTGCATAACGTGCAGAGATCTAAATGTTCACCTGTGTAAGTGCCCCCAAAGCAGCAGTGCTGGTCCCTCAGTGGATCAGAGGAGACAAGCAGGAGGTGGCTGTTTCCCTGTCCCCCATTCTCCTGTCCCCCTGCCTGCACCCCCTGCCCCCTCACCTCGCTGTCCTCCTCATTGTGCAGGGGCTGGGTGTAGGGGTCTGGCTTGCGGATCAGGGGGTCCACGAGCACCAGGAATGCCATGTAGAGCAGCAGGGCCCCCACCACCGACAGGTAGATGATGATGATCACCTGCAGTTGAGGACAGCACAGGGGGAAAGGATAAGCAGTGGAGATAAGAAGCACCACAGAGGTCAGGAAGATCCTTTGCAGCTGCCTCTGATGTGTGATCTCTTGTTCTCATTTTGCTCACAAAAGTCTCTTGCTCTTGCAGGAGGCCGAGGTTGTGCCATCACTGCACAAACTGGGCTGACACTCACTGTGCCAACTGAGGGCATGTTCTGCACACAGGGGACAACAAGATGGGGCCCTAGTCAGAAATGCCTGGCACTCTTGTCACACATCCCCAGCAAGGAGACTGGGCTCCCACACAGCTCCTCACTACCAGGAATGCCCATCTCAGGGAATCACAAAAATCACAGAAGTCACAGAATCCCTGAACCACTGAGTGAGGTTGGAGAAGATGTCTGAGATCATGGAGTCCAACCTGTGATCAATCCGCACTTTATCACCTTATCCCCACCTTGCCTGGAGCATTCAGTGCCACATCCAGTGGTTCCTTGAACACCTCCAGGGACAGTGACTTCCTGGGCAGCCCCTTCCAGCTTTCTTCCAACACCCTTTTTGTGAAGAAATTCTTCCTAATGTCCAACCTAAACCTCCTCTGATGCAACTTAAGACTATGTCTTCTTGTTGTGTCACTAGCTGCCTGGGAGAGGAGGCCAAGCCCCACCTGGCTACAGCCTTCTTTCAGAGACTTGTAGAGTGAGCCCCTGGCATTGCCACCATGTACTCGCTGTGACAGTTTCCTTTCTGAAAGAAAACTTTCTGGGCTCTTCTCCAGGAACCTTCCAGTGTGGCAGGGCAAGGGGCAGGGCACAGGCAGTGAGTGCAGTCACCCTGGGCATGTGTGGCACAGGAGGGGGCAGGATGGGCAGAGCCTGAGCTCAGGTACCTTGATGGTGGTCGTGCTGCGCTCCTCGTACTTGCACTCGCAGAGCAGGCAATAGGCCTCCACGTCATTGCCAGGCACTGGCATGGGCTCCACCACGTGCAGACAGTTGCTGCAGCACAAACAAAGCACAATCAGCAGCAGCACAAGGTGAAACCAGTGCTCTGTGCAAGGACACTGGGGTGACTTTGTCTGTGTCCCAGCTTTCCGGTCAGGCTGATAACACTGATCTGGTGTTAAGAGCTCCCCTCACAGCCTAGCTGCCCAAAGTCCCTGGGAAAGGTTGTCTCAGCACCTTTGGCAGGGATCTGGTCCAGGTGGAAAGGATTGGAGGGCACACCCTACATCTGCCAAGAGCAACCCTACATCTGTCAAGAGTGGTGGGTTAACGTATCATCCCAGATTCCTCAATTTCTGTTCAAAAAAATGCCCCTGGCCTGGGTTGAACATCACCCACCAAAGCAGTTCCCTCTGCAAACATACAGGCAGGGAATCCCTTCCTCAGCATCAGCTGGGAACTGCAGAGCCTGGCTGGCACAGACTAACCCTGAGGCTGCTCACTCACTCACCAGTCCTTCTGGGACACATTCTTGTTGTAGATGTGCCCGCTGATGTTGCGGTACGGGGGGCAGATGCACTTGCAGCGAATGTCCTCAGAGCTCTGCAGGACACAGGAGCCATGTGAAGGAGGGGCCACAGCTCTGTCCCCTCACACCCCACCTCTGCTGTGCCCCACACAAGGTGTCACCCACCTTGCTGGCGTGTGCTGGGGGACACAGGACACAGCCCAGCAGCACCAGCAGCAGCACGGGGCTCACAGAGTTCCGGGAGCTCAGGGTGAACATCCTGGGAGCCTGAGGGAACAAAATTCACATCCAGGACAGAGCATCTCAGCTGAGTGCAGCCACAACAAGGTAGTCAAGAGATTTTTTTTGGCCCACTTGCCTTTGTTTTGCCCAGGAAGAAGAAATTTGTTCCTGAATTGCAGCTGATGCCAGCCAGAAACAACACAGATCCCAACAATGCTCCTGCCAGAAGAGCTTCCACCCTGTACAACCCCACACCTAAACTACACCAGCCCTGCAAAAGTATTGCTGATTTCCTTACAACTGGACTTGCAGAAAACCTCCTGTTCATCTCTTATTGCCCTGGAGCCCAGCTACAGATATTTTGGTGCTGACAATTTTGCTTATTAAGAGATGCAGAACTAGAAGCAAGAGTGACCTAAAGCAGTACACTGGGGCCTCCTTGCTGCACTGTCATGAGTGGTAAATCATTCATCTTCTGACACTCAAAAGTCTTGCTGCTGAAGGGAATTATGTATTTTCCTGTAATGAGCTATGGGAAAGAGGTGGACTATTCCTAAGTATTCCAAATCAATTCCTAAACCTCCTTTATCTCAAGATACCTGTTCAGTAAATCCTGATTTTAAAATTACTTCAAGCTGGCAGCTTGGTGAATTCATTAATGCATTCTGCTACATATCACAGAATGGTTTGGGCTGGAAGGGACCCTAAAGATTATCTCCTTCCAACTCCCATGTGTTTGGATAAAGTTGTTGCAGAGATGTGTGCTTCCATAAATCCATAAGAATATGAATTTATTCCCTGTGCCACAAAAGGCAAGTTTGCCTTGGTGAGGCTGGCGTTCACCCCCAGAGAGAAAAGGTGGAGCAGGTGTTGGGGGACCTTGGGACAGCAAGCAAGAGCTGTTTCAGCAGAGGAAGGGGAAGGGAATTTACACCTCCATTTATCAGCTCCCAGGTAATCCCACAGCTTACTCCAGGTACTTGTACGCCATCACCTGACCTGATTCCATTGGGATTTAAATCACTGTGATATTCTGTTCCCTTTGCTTTATCTTATGTCAACACCTTAAGTTCACATAATGGATTACAAACAAGAAGTTCCTTTCTTCTTTATCTAGACAAAACACCAGCAACTTCTAACAAGCTGCCGTACCTCCAAAATGCATTCCAGTCCTATCACCTCATCCATGATTTATTAAGGTTTTGCACCACAGCTTCAAAAATCTCCTCAAACAATGATCCTTTCCAGGGAGATATCAGGGGTTCAGATCTTCATCACACATCTGGGGAACAGGACTGATCTGAGCTGCCCAGTGCACGTTCCCCATTTTAAGTGGGTCTGGACTTTTGTCTGCATTTTTAACACAACAATGGGGCATGTACCATTGCTGGGCATGCAATGCCCAACTATCAGCTGAGTTTAGAATATCTGAACAACTCAGAAATGTCACTTTTAAAAATAGGAGGGGAAAACACGTGATCTATTATACCATAAACAAAAACTTAGAACCTGGGCAGAATTCATGCACCATGAACTGCAGAACACCCTCAACCACACAAAAGATAATCAAGGCATATTTATCAGCAATATATTTGACAGCAAAGGGATACATGCACACATGCCTTACAGCTATTTCTTCCAGACCATCAGCCTGGGCCACAGCAGCCATGCAGCCAAAACCAACATCTGCCAGAGCAGGAAGCACAGCAGAGAGTGCATGGTTGAGGTGAAGTTCTGGGGGCTGTGAGTGTGGCAGCTCCCAGGATGAGCCCCCACAAAAGGCTTTCCAGAGCATGGCTGCACACAACCACCCCCTCTTCTCCCTGGGATTGCCCAGTAATCACCTCATCTTTAACCTCCCCATCCCTGTAAGTGTCCAAGGCCAGGCTGCAGGGGCTTGGAGCAGCCTGGTCTCGTGGAATTACTCCTTGCCCATAGCAGGGGTTGGGACTCGATGAGCTTTATGGTCCCTTCCCACCCAAACCATTCTGGGATGATTCTGTGAACATCACATGGAGCATTTCTAAGACTCCAGCCCGTTTCCCTCCCCGAACCATCCCCGACCCCAACCCAGACCCAGGGCAGGGCCGGACCCCTCAATTCCCGCCGAGGGCCCGGGTGCCCCTGCATCCCTCCAGGGGCTTCCACCGCCCGATCCCACCCGGGATGCCTCCGGCAGTGCGGGCCACCGCCGCCCCGCGAGCCCCGGGTCCTGCACAGCCCCGCACGGTCCCGCCCCGGGTGCGGGAAGCGGAGCAGGGCCAGGGCCCGACGCCCTCATCCCCCGGCCATGGCCATACCCAGCCCACATCTGCCCCTTACCTGGCCCTGGCTCCGGCCCGAGCCCGGCCCCTCCCTGCAGGCCCCGGCCAGGCCCTCCCCGCGTGCCCGCTTGGCCATTGAGCGTGACGCGCAGTGACGGACGGCTCCGCTGGCCAATCGGAGGGCAGCAGCCCGGCCGCTGCTGAGCGCGGCCCGTGGCGCTGAGGGGACGCGGTGCCGGCGCCGGCCGTTGCCGTGGCCATGGCCGTTGCGTTGCCGTTGCCGGAGGGGCCTTCGGCGGACATGGCCCGGGCAGCTCCCGCCTGGCTTCCCGGGGCAGCACCCGCGGGGCTGCGCCGCCTCGTCCTGGGGCTGAGACGCGGGATAGCCCCGCTCCTTCTCAGCCCCTTCTCACTTCACATCCCCGTTCTCCTCTCACACCCCCATCTCTCCCCTCACGGTCCCACTCCCCCTAATGCCCCTCTCTTCCCTCACAAACGCCGTTCCCCTCTCACAGACCCCCCCTCCCCCCCACACCCCGCTCTCCCTTCATGGCCCCTCTTCTCTCGCAGTCTGTGTTTCCCCCTCACACCCAGTCTTCCGTCATGGCTCTGCTCTCCCCTCACACGGACGGCGGTCCTGTGTCTATCAGAGGGAAAAGCCCGGGCCGCAGTGCTGCCCTTGCTTCTGGTTTTGGGTGATTTGTGGTTGTAGATGGTATCAGTGATCCTTCAGTTTCAAGGGCTTCAGTCTCGCTAGGAACCTCTTGTGTTTGAGACTTGTGATTCATTTCAAAAGCCTGGTCCTTGTGCCAAGAGGAACATTGTACCTTTCCAAGGCCACTGGGTCTGGTGTTTGCCCAGAGAACTTTCCTCAGATGTGGTTCTTGTAGTACCTCGGGTTTGCCCCACTTTCTGTGTCTGCACTCTACAGGTGTGCAAATACCCCCAAGCCTTGGCTTTGCTCCGGTGGCAGCTCCCAGGCGGTTCCATTCAGAGCTGGAGGGATTGAGGGTGGCAGGAAAATTCCACAAATGCCAGAGGTTTATGTGCAAAGAAGAGAGAGAGGAGCCCTGCACTTTCATTCAAATAAAGGGAGAGAGTCCACCGGGGCGCAACCCACGAACCTTTCTCTCCCGAATTTTGGAGGGCACAGCCTCCTTTTATCGCAAACTCCCGGCCCCACGTTGCCTCTTCCTTTCCCCATTGGCCGAGGTGCTAGGAAGGTACAGCCTTCCCGAACCGCCTACCACATATTCCCCCTTGAACTCGTTATTTTACCCCAAAGTTCAGGCTTGTGCAGACACTTAACTGTTTTAGAAGCCAAGCTGTCTGGGCTCTGCAACAAACCTCCTGTCCAAAGTTAATAGATACATTAAGACCCATTTCAATGAAGTTAGCACTCATACCTTCACCCATCAAACTGTTTGTTAAGACATTAGCTTTCCTCTCAAGGGGCTTACTTGCTTCTCTGTCGCTTTGCTGCTTTACCTGGTGCAGATTAACCTGGTCTGTGCTGCTGGATAAAGTGAGGACCTATTTTTTTCAGGTAAAAAAAAAATCCCTAGATGGAAAAAGAAGAGACCCAAGCCCCTGGTTTAACTTGTAGAAATAGAATCACAAAATCAAGTATGTTGGGAAAGACCTCTGAGATCATCGTGTCCAACCTGTGCCTGACCTCCACCTTATCATCCAGCCCAGAGCACTCAGTGCTGTGTCCAGGCATTCCTTGGACACCTCCAGGAATGGGGACTCCACCACCTCGAGTCCCTGGGCAGTCCCTTCCAATGCCTCACCACCCTTTCCATGGAGAAATTCCTCTGGATGTCCAACCTGAACCCTTCCTGGCACAACTTCATGCTGTTTCCTCCTGTCCTGTCCCTGTTCCCTGGGAGCAGAGGCCAACCCCATCCTGGCTGCTCCCTCCTGTCAGGAGTTGTGCAGAGCCAGAAGATCCCTCCAGGCCTCCTTTTCTCCAGGCTGAGCCCCTTTCCCAGCTCCCTCAGCTGCTCCTGGTGCTCCAGTCCCTTCCAAAGCTCCATTCCCAGCTCTGTTCCCAGCTCTGAACTCTCTCCAGCCCCTCAATGTCCTTCCTGAACCCACCTGACATGGACCCCAGGTGGGAGGGTGTTTCCAGTCCTGACAGAGTTTGCTCCTTTGATGAAAATAAAAATGAAAATAATAAGGTGAGATACATTCAGCCAGAAATAGGTGTAGATCAGAGGGTAAATGTCTGTTTGGCAGATAGTTCCGTTTCTCTAATAGTTTTAACTTTCTAGAAATGAGTAAATAATTGAGACTGCTTGTTTTAGGGCTTGTAGAATGTTTAAGTTATGGAGTCTGCTAGGTTTTAAAATGTCCCACACTGCTCTATGCCCCTGGCATAGGAATTACTGATGTCAAAGTGCTTCCACAGAGTCATAAAGTCATGGGGTGGTTTGAGTTGGGAGGGACCTCAAAACTCATCCCATCCCACCCCATGCCATGGGCAGGGACACCTTCCACTATCCCAGGTTGCTCCAAGCCCCATCCAGCCTTGCCTTGGACATCTCCAGGGATGGGGCAGCTACAGCTTCTCTGGGCACCCTGTGCCAGGGCCTCCCCACCCTCACAGGGAAGAATTTTTTTCTATTATTTCATCTAAACCTATTCTCTTTCAGTTTGAAGCCATTCAGTCTTGTCCTGTCATTGCATATTCTTGTACATAGTCTCATAAATAATATTCAAAAGGGTTTTCTCACCCCATTGCTGTAATGTTTAAAATCCTGGCCCTGCCATGGCTGCATTCCACCCTCACTCACTGGAGTCTGTATAGGATAGTGGTCTAAGTCAGCTGGACTGATCCAAGGAAACATTCCATGAAAATAATCCTGGGTATTAGATGTACAAAGGACTTCTAATTCCTTCCTCCTACTCCAGAGTTGCTGAGCGGAAGAAGCTCTTTGGTGCTAAATCAGAGCTCTCCCTGCAGAGCAGAACCCTGGGCCTGCTCATGGGACACTCAGCGCTGTGACACAGCTGAGTTTTTTCAGGTTTAAAAGCCCATGGCCACAGGGATTTTCTGTGACTGACTTTCCTCTGGCTGGTGAGGAGGTGTTTTTATCTCTGATATGCCTGTTGTCACAGCAATCTGTGCTTCTGTGTCTTTTGCAGCCCAAAGGTCCATACCACTGCTTCTTGTAGGGCTACAGATGACACTTAGAGGCAGCAGCCTGGACTGGTGACAAGACACTGGAAATACCCTTGGAGGAAGTAAAGGGATAGCCCAGGCAGCTGAGAGAGCACATCCAGGGATCAGGTTTTTTGGGTGAGCACCTCAAAAACAGACTGACCAATACAGGATGAGTTTGAAAGTTGCATTTCCATTCAAGTGCCTTTTCCAAGAGACTGGTTTCAGAATTCTTGGATAGGTGGGTGAGTTGTATGTACACTTCCGGATAGGTGGGTGAGTTGTATGTAGACTTCCTTGCAGTGATGAGTGGGAGATTTCACACACATTTCCAGGAGACTGTTTCCTGTTTCCTTGCTGACTTTCCCTCTGGCAAAGCTGCCTTTTTGTCTGTCCCAGACAACTGGGTTGCAGCAGGCTTGGTTATCTCCTGGATATCATCCCTGTTGCTGTGTTTAAAGCCCAGCAGCAGTGGGGAAAGTGAGTTTGCCTGAAGGGAGCAGAATTTGCTGCTTTATTTCTTCCTACCTGTTGCTCAGTCTTGTCCTCATTCCTAAGTGCACCACTGCATGCACCCAACAGATGTGGTCTTGTTTCCTGAATTTCTGTGTGTGCTGAATGCAGGTCCCTTCAAAAATCTCTCCAGCAATGGGTTCTGAACCCTATAGAGATCTTGCCCTGAATTCCCAGTAATCTGGGTTGATTTTAGCCACTGACACCACCCTGTAGGGATCTGTGACTCACACAGGATCTGGGGAGAGGCTTTAGAGACCTTGGGGCTCCCAGTGACACCGTGGGACTGTTCATTCCCGATTTCTGCCTTGCACTTTGCTGGCAGCACTAAGGTGAGGGGGAGGTGCCTCAGAGGAGCCTTCCATGGGCAGTGCCCTGGGAATAGACACCAAACACAATTCATGTGGCACAGAGGGAGAGGGAATGGAGATGGGAGACAAACACAAATGTGTAAAAGAGGGGAAGTGCATCAGCTGTTAATATCCTGCCCTGTTCCTTCCCCTTACCCACGTAATTAGGCCTTGCTGGCATTCATGGTGTCAATCTGAAGGACAGGTGGCATTTTTGTTAACAACAGCAGTGGCTGAGGACACACAGGAACAGCTTGTCCTTGTTCTCTCTGGACAAGGGTGTTGGTGACAGCACTGCAAACCTCCTTCCGGCCCAGCGCCGAGGGTCACAGCAGCTGGCACATATTTAAAGGGCAGTTTATTTTAAATTGTGAACAGATACATTGACTTGTAAATATTCTAGAAATACATCCTGCCATTATAAAAAGCATCCTATAATTCTGGGGGAAGAAATTTCATTCTTCACCTGCAACAATATTATTTGGTCTTTCTATTGCCTATGGAATGAAATGCTTTGGGAATTGTAAGCTGACAAGAGAAGACTTCAGGGTGCCTGGGCATTGGGCCAATCTGTAGGGCTCTCTTTCTTGTTCAGGATGGGTGGTTAGACCAAACAATGGCAATTCTTCTTCTCTTTATGCTGTCAGCTCCCTTCCAGCTCCAAGGAAGTGGTTTGTGGCTGTGCCTCAGTTTCCTCAGTCAAAAGGTACCACAGCACAGGGAGGGGCTCTGTGAGGGTGGCTGAAGAGCTTGTGAGGGTCACAAGAGCTGCTTGTGACGGTCAGCTCTTGAGGACTTCTCTCACCCTGAAAGACCTGATGGTCTTAAAAAGCCTCATGGAGATTTGTGAGCACACATTAATGAACAAATGGTGTCAGTCCCAGGCAGGAGCAGCTGCTGTGTGTGTGGGAGCTGACAGAAGATGTGGCTGCCCAGCAGGCTGGGCTCTGATAACCTGGCAGATCCAGTGTCAGTGTGTGCCCTTGGACCATGCACACACAGGCTGGGGTTGTGCAGGACCCTGTGTCCAGCATGACCTCCCATGGCATGGACAGGCAGAGAACAGCCATTAATGTCCAGCCATGGAGGGCAACTCTGGACCATGGAACTTGGAGCTGCTTCTCGTGGGTCAC